AGTAACAGACTGTACTTTTTCCACGGCCACAGATACAGCAGGAGGTGAATATAGTAAAATGAAACTTTAAACAAAATGAAATATTTAAACTGTTGTGCAAGTTTTTATTCAAATTATTTGCATAATTTTTCAGTTAAGGAAGAATATTATTAAATTCCATTTAAGATTCATTCTATTCACCAATTTTTGAATTTAGGTTCGACTTAACAAACGCCGCTTATCTCTATTCAGGTAAATTCAAACTAAATACTAAAATGTCGCGTAGAACTGTCAGTCATGAAGTTTATTACTATCTACGATGTGGGTATGGTATTCACAGTCAAGTAGCTTTACAGAATGAATATTTTGTCTCTAGAGTTAGAATGAAATACGTGTAAAATACATAAGAAGCAAGTGTTTCAGAATTTCCTTTCAATCTCAAGAGAAAGAATGTTTTCCTTCTCTTATTATAAGTGATTTCAGAAGAACTACATTTAGTAGTGGCCGCGGAGAAATCATTTTATGATATTCACTTAAACGCTTTTAAATTCTAGGCATTTAAGATAGACGGAAGATATTCACCAATTTTGATAAATCATACACTGCATTTAAATAGATTCCGAATGCAAAGCTTATAAAGTCGACGAAAAATGCAGTCGTTAATATTGCTATATAAACTTATTAAATACCAGATTGATTGTTCCGAGTTATTAGAACAACTTTTATTTAAGAGCAAATAAAGCCAAAATATTGTATTTTCAAATATAAAATTGTATTTATAAGCGAGTCACTAGGAATACTTTGCGATGTTATGTGTCTCGAGAATATTGAGAGCTTTTAATTTGTGTCACAATCAGGCAGCACTCTACAGAGACATTTAAGAAAATAGGTGAGAAACCGTCCCATTTAAAAATTACTAGACATTTATTAAAACAAAAAACAGTAAATTTTCATATATTTAATACAAAAAAGTGGATAATTTTTTTTAAATTCCTCTTAAAAATTATCAAAATAAACAATTTTCAAAAGTTTACAAAAAATCAAGATTTCTCCAAGTTTGACAAAACATCAGACTGAAATTATACATTTTCAGACTATTCGGTTGGCTCTAAAAGTGTCAAGAATTAAGTTTTAAACACCTCAATGTTTTATCTCCTGCAATCTCGGACAAATTAACTATTTTGTGTGTGAAAACTGCAAAAACCTGCAAGATAGAGTAAATTATTTTTTTTTGTAAGCTTTTGCAACTCAAGAAATTGTAAGAAGCCACTTGTTTTGTTTCGGTATTATTTGTCATTAATTTATTTAATTTATGTATTAGGCATATTTAATTTATGCTATATGTAATTTAGGTTAATATGTAGTTTTGTTACATATAATTTGTCATGTGTAATTAATGTTATATGCAATATGTCATTTACTGCTACAAAATTTGAATTTATTTTAATTAACTAATGAAGTGTTCAATTTCCATAACACTCATTTTTAGACATGTCTTTATTATCCTAATTGTACTAGATAGTTTTAAAACACAAATACAGCCCATGTATTCTCAAATGGACTGAAAAATCAAAAATACTTTTTTAATTTTAACTTTTAGATATAATGTTATTCTTGATAAAAATTTTGGCTTGCTTCAAAATTAATATTAAAAATTTTGGTTATATGTAATTTATGTTATATGCAATTTATGTCATTTACTTCTACAAAATTTTAATTTATTTAAATGAACTCGTTTCTGAGGGTTGTAATTCTCTCAACAATAATGTTTAGACATGTCTTTATTATCCAAATTGTACTTGTTATTCTTGATAAAAGTTTTGGCTCGTTTAAAAAATAATAAAAATTTTATCGGGTCGGTAGCGTAGCTGTCTAAGGCACTTATATTCATGTACAGGCAAGTTTGTGATTCAGAGACAGAGCTTCGAATATTATAGAAGACCATGTAAACTTTTAATTAAATTGCATGGTTCGTTATAGGATTTAACGTGTGCCGTATTAACAAAAATTTAATTTCTCTTGATATGACATCCAGATTACAAGGCGTTACCGTCTCGATGATGGTGGGTGAGGTTTTCCGGGTTTTCCTTGCCTGCAAGTCAAATGGCACCATCAATCATCTTTAAGTCGCCCCGGAGCACCACGGAACATAATAATACTAGGCGTCCTTTCCCCACACAAGCTGAGTCTGCTTCAGGGGTTGAAATTCACACGTAAGGGGTGAATTAGTTAAAGTAATATTATTTTATTATGTTATATGCAATTTATGTCATTACTGCTACAACATTTGAATATATTTTAATAAACCTCGTTCTGAGAAGTGCAAATTGCACTTGACAATTTTTACTTTCCTATCTGTATACAGATATAAGGAAAGTATAGGAATCATGATTTTTTTCGACCTCGAGTTTTCGACGGATTTTTACGTTTTGAGGTCCCCTGAATCCGTTTTGACTATTTTCGCGATGATGTCTGTGTGTGTGTGTGTGTCTGTGTGTGTGTCTGTGTGTGTGTGTGTGTGTGTGTGTGTGTGTGTGTGTGTGTGTGTGTGTGTGTGTGTGTGTGTCTGTATAACGCATAACTCATGAACCGATACACGGAAAAACACCAAATTTCAAACTTAAGCTTTGTTCCAACGTCTAATGAGCTGATTAGATTTTGGGCAGAGTCGGAACATCTGGGGGGGTACTTTATAGGTGGTCATTTTTATATTTTATGGAATATATATGTTATTTACGTTTGGGGAAGAAAATTCTTCAAATGAAAGTTACTTCTTATTTTATTTTCTATAATTTTTGTTATATACAAAATTTTCCTAAAATGGTCCGTATTCGCGAAATTTGACAAAATGTAAAAAAATATTTTTTTTTATAAAAATTGTTCAAACAAAAGTTGTTTGTAATATAATTCTCTATAATTTTTATCCTATTGATAATTTCTCTAAAATGGACCGTATTCGAGATATTTGAGAAAATGTGTAAATTTCGAAATTTGAAGAAAACTCAAAAATGGATAAAGAAAAAAACATTAAATTTTAAACTTTTAAAAGTTTTATTTCGGCCTGACGTGAAATTATTAGATTTTGGACAAAGTCGGAACATCTGGGGGGGTACTTTATGGGAGGCCGTTTTTATATTTTATGGAATATATCTGTTATTTATGTTTGAAGAAAAAAATTGTTCAAATAAAAGTTACTTCTAATATTATTATCTATAATTTTTGCTTTATGTAAAAATTTCCTGAAATGGTCCGTATTCGAAAAATTTGACAAAATGTGCAAAATTCTGATTTTTATGAAAATTGTTGAAATAAAAGTTGTTTGCGATATCGATCTCTATAATATTTGTTTATACATGATTTTTTTAAAATGGACCGTAATGAAAAAATTGTAGGAAAAGTGCTAAATTTAAATTTTTCAGTATTTTCATTTTCAATGAATATCTATAGAAAAATGTTTCGCGGTAGATGTATGTGGACAATGTATATATTTAGTTTATCCTCTAAACATTTATAGAGATGCTGCAATAGGTTGTACAAAATAACCGGAAAAAGCCTGTAATACCTAGATAGGAAAGTCATGTGTTGGACACATCAGATTTTTACTTTAAAAATTTGTCAGAGCAATGAATGTCTTGTTCCTACTTCAGATTTAATTAATTAAAATGTTATTCTTCATAGAAGTTTTTTTCTTGTTTGAAAAATGATGTTTCAAACAGTGAAATACATAATGACAAAAATATATTTTTTTATTTATTTGATATTCTTCAACATGAATTATGTGAAATATATTATTAAATATGAAAACCACCCAGTTCAACGCATTTTCCAGCTGTGTGAAAAAATTCTTTGTGTATATTCTTATGGTATTTTGAGAAACAGAATTTATTCCCTACCTTATTAATTTTTTTAACACCAACGTCATTTTTCAAATTATGACTATAAAAAATTGTTTTAAGTAATCTCACAGAAAAAATCCAGAAATTTAAATCCTGTGAATCTGCTGGAAATTACATTAATCCGTAATGGTAAAATGTTTCTATATTTTTTTACATTTTTTTCATTATTTTATTAAAAGAAAGAGATATTTAACTTCTGTTTGGATCATTATTAGTTGCGAAGCAAGAAAAAACTTTTATTGAGAATGACATTTGTTTTGTTCTTTTTCTGTCTATCCACGGAAACTTTATCGATCTGAATTTCATTAAATTAAAACATTTTAATTATATTAAAAAACTTCAGTTAAAATTTCAATTATGTTAAAAACATAAAAACAGAACAAAAATATGTAGAATTTTGAAATATTTTAAAGAATATTCGCGAACACAACTATGTTGTTATTTGGAAAAATATATTTGGGAATTTTATAACTAAATTACGTCATTCTATAAAATTAATGTGAAAATGATTGTTTCACAAATAATTAGGAATGCAAATGTTTTCAGTCGACTTGACGATAATGATAAAAAAAAATACCATTAAAAGATCAATATCAATAAAATAAAAGCTTTCTGTGTACCCTGGTATAGGTATAATATTAAAAAATTTAAATATATAAAAAATATTGTAATATTGATCGAGTTGGCATTGAAGAGTCGTAAGTCGTAATTACCGAACTAACATTAATATTTTCTCTTAGGGACGAGCCAATTCTCATATCACTATTTTCTATTTAATTTTCAGTAAACGTCTGATTTTTCCACTGAAAGACTAACGGGTTCTAGAAAAAAAAAATATCCCTAGTCATGGAAAAAGCGTCTATACGTTATAGTCAAAGTATCATTAAAACTGATAACACACCAAAGCGGACCTTGAAAATTCTCGGACAGGTTTTCTTCGACTTCTTCTCACCTGATTTAACTGATTGCATTGATTTGCCGGCTTCTATGTAAACAGAAAAGCACGTTGATTTGTTCGAGAGGGGATTTGACCGCTCCTGATTGGTCAGTGAAAGTGCAAGAGACAATGTGTATATATTAATCGGACTGCTGAAATTTTATCAGAGATAATATATATGTCAAGTTAGACGCTGAATGAAGTTTTCCGATTTAGTTCTACGGGAGTTTTGCAGTTGTAGTTTTTTTTTTGGTGCGCTTTCAGTGACTTTTTGAAAAAAAATTATAAACAGTTTTCGTTAGTTTTTCGTACAGGATTACAGTGAGTTCTTGCTTTGATATATGTTTTATTTTTTAATAGGGGGGTTTTGAAAATTGTGGTAGCTTTTTACAGTAAAATTTAAAATAATTGATTTTGTAAGTAAATGCTTTTTTATTATTTTTATAAAGGTAGGTTGTGTTTGTAGGAAAATCATTTTGTGCATTTGTTTATGTATTTTGAATATATAATAAATTCTAAATTGATGTTTTAAGTTAGGTCAGTTATAAAGTATTTATTTAATAATACATTTTTGGAATTTGCCTGGTTTTCATTAAAAAAAAAAAATCACTTTCCGACACAACTTTCAGAACTTCATATATGGTAGAATTATATAGAGATAATTTTAATAAATTTCATATTTCTCAGATTTATGTTTTTGTTAGATAAATTATATTTTTCATATTATATTTACGTAAAATATCTAGATAGTTTTTTAATAATAATATAATATAATATTCTTTATATTCACAAATTTTACTAAAATGATTTTCTTTAAATATTATACTCTTTTTATAATCAAAATTTTATGTTCGCTTTAAAGTGTGATAATATTGAAATATATTTTCATTAAAAATATCTTATTTGGTCTAGTTTTTGTAGGCTATATAAAATTATTTTATTATCTTTCATACCGATTTTAGGAAAACTTTAAAAATATGATTATTTTTTTTAATAGTTTCAAAATATATTATTTTTAATTTAAATATCTTAAAAATTAATAATTCGGAACGAAACATATAAAAACAGCAACTATTTATTATCAGTATGACTTAAATATACATTTTGATAAAAATGTCATAATAAAGTCAACCCAAATTTAATAGTTTCGATATAAAATAACCTTCCTAATCTTTATTTTTAAAACAACCAAATAGTAGACTTACATATTCAAAATAAAATCTCTAGAAAAATGAAATAAATACTAATTCCAATTTGTTACTCGAAAAAATACTAATTTCAACAAAATTATTTTATTTGTTTATATCCTATTAGTTATAAATTTTCCTTAATAATTTTTTGTTAGTTTGTCACAAAGTAATAATGATGTTTACTTATAATTTTCTGATAGTTCAAAACACATTTTCTCTCTTACCGTAATTGCTAATTTAAACCGGTCATTTTTGAAAAATTCCATAGATATAGCCTACTGAATACATTACAGTTTGTTATATTTTTTTATTATAAATTAGTCCATATTTTATTGATGAGTTTCTAAATTTCCATTCAAGTTTTTAAAGCTTAATTTTGCTTTTTCTATTGAGTCAAAAGTTGTATTAATAATAATAGTACCTAGACAATTCAAAATTGTGTTTCTTTAATATCTATGTACTATCATATTAAAAAACTGTCCTCTTACTGCTGTTGCTGTTATTATCATAAAATTATTTTTTAAAGTCAGATCCGTCCGAAGCCCGTAGCAAATGATTCTTAAGGTAGCCTTCTAGACTCAAAGTATAGGGTATATCCTAACTGCGATTATTATTAATTTTTTTGTTCTTTGTAGTTTTAAATTTGCATTTATTGATAAACTACAATTCTAACCAAAACTTGTAAATTAAATTTTATTTAAAACATTTTGTTTAGTTTACTCTTCGATTTTCATCTCTTATTACGATTTATCAGGCCAGTGGAACAGTCTTCAACAATACTCTTTTCCCACCTAACTACATTGATGTCACATTAATACCTTTAGTAGTAAGCAACCCTAAAACAATGTCATAAAAGTTACTAAGAACAGCCATTTTTATTAAATGTATTGTTTAAACCAGATTCAATACGGGTAATGTTGAAAACTCGATATAATTGTATCCTTTTAAGAGAGTTCTACTATGCCATTGTAGTTCTTCTTTTTATTCTTGGTAGATATTGAAGGAACTTTCTAGTTATTCCACCAACCTTAAGTTTTATTCATTACCTTCCTCTTTTTACATGCGATTGTGGCTGTCAGCCCAGTTTGGGTTAACCAAGGTATATTACGACTAACAAGCTTAGTCGAAAATAACATAATGGATCCAGTGACGATGCACATTTTATCTTCCTGTCTTAATATTTCTTCTTACTGTACCTGTACTTTCTGTACCTGTATTTTTAATGATTTTGAGGCCGTAGTTACACCAATAAAAAGATAAAAATACAGAAATAACATTTTCTACAATCAAGTTTTCCTAAAAGTTCTGATTAAATAATAGATTTTAGGTTTTTATAGTGAAACCTATTATAAAATTAAATTATTATTAAATATGTATGTCTCGTGCAGATAATTTCTTATAAAAATAATGCAAGAAAGAGATTACTTCTTCAATTGCAGCAAATTGTTATTTCATAAGAAATGAAGTTGTTAGTAAATATTACAAAAAACTATTCTTTAAATAGGGTAATAAACTAGTTTAAATAATAGAAATAGAAACACTATTAAAAAAAAATATATTCTAATAAATTGCAAATATGAGACTAAATTAGTATAAACTTATAATAATTATAAACTACAATTTTATTAACTTTATATTTCCCAATCAAACACAAAAATATTTCCTTGCCTAATAAATGAAAGCAATTAAATTAAAATCAATTTTTTTAGATTTTTTTATTATTACGTAGTACCTATTCAAAGATAGATAAAGCAAACGATACAATGAAATTCTAGTAATAAAATAAAATTAAAAAAAAAAAAAACGAAACAAAATTAATTGAATTTAAATTCGCAGGTTCAGGTTAACAGTTTCCAAAAAGATTTCGACAGTGATCTTGACTTCGTAACTCGTTTCATTCGGCGCCAAAATAAGTTGAACTTGAACTTAAACTTGAATAAACTTTTAAAATGAAGGAACTGTTTAGCTTGTGGAATAGGATTTTGGGGACGACTTATGATGCCGTTAATACAAATTCAGTAAATACAGATCGTTCGAAAAAGCAGAAAGAACAATACGACAAGAGCAGGTCGAGGAAAGGTTCTTCCGAATATAGAAGTAAGTTTTCTAAAATATGGTTAAATTGGTGGTGGTGTATATATATGATGTCAACAAAGTACTATGGTTTTTTCTTCTTCAAATATAGGTACATGATAATTTACAGATAAGAAATGTTATTCAGCAGATGCGTAAACAAATGTTAATAGTAGTAAAATAATTAATATATCAAACTTTTGATAGAAAATTAAATGGCATGTGAATAAAATAAAACTTACGTACTTATCATCGCACGGAGACGAAGTTTGAGCACGACACCGCCGATCCTCTTAGTGCGATATGGACAATCCCTTTAAGTTGGATGGTATATTTTTTCTACGACCAACTGACAACAATCTGGAATTTTTTTAAATTAAATTAATTTAATTATAACAAATTATTAAATAAAATAAATTTCAAAAATATTTTAATTCCTCTTCATCCTGAATTGGAACCTCTATACTTTTGCGTGTAAACTCAATGCGCTATATCTGCGCTAAAGGGACAAATATATATATATATTTTTAATATTGATAATTAGATTGATGTTACATAGTTTTTTTTAAATTCATGATTTATTGGTAAATAATATAACTAATATCTTGTGGAATGTTATTATTTATGGATTCTTCACAAGAATCACTCATTTTACTTTCCTCTCTATATACAAAGAAGGAAAGTATAGGAATCATAATTTTTTTTAACTTCGAGTTTTCGACGGATTTTTACGTTTTGGAGGTCGCCTGAATCCGTTTTGACTATTTTCGCGACGATCTGTATGTCTGTGTGATTTTTGTTAAAATTATATTTAATCACAATAACTTAAAAATGTACTGAAAATTATTTGAGAGAACTTTCACTTACTTATTTAAAGTTCTAAAAAAAATAGTAGCCTGGCCCAAATATGAAGTGTAATTTATTCGGATCATAACCGTAGGTACAGTGTCATTACTAGATTGGATATGAAATTATATCCGTTCAGTAGAACGTAATGACGTTCTTTTTCATTCTATAGCGTAGAATAAAAAATATCCACGTGGGCCAAAAAAGAGTTTTCAAAATCCCCTTAAATTTAATATTACTCCTAAGAGTAGAATTATAGAAACTCCATATACAGTTAATTTAATAAAACACAGTAATCTGATAGTATAATAGTAGAAGTAAGCCTGGCTTTTCTATCTTGCTAAATGCTTGTCAAAAACCTACCTCAGAATCTAAACATATTAAATAAAATTTAATCCAACCAATATAGTCGTAGAAAATGTGTGCTAGATCATTGAAAATAAATGACTAACTCCTAATAAGTTTAAAAACGAAAATATTAATTTATTTTCGCATTATACAGTGCCCTGTATAGCAGGCGTCCCATAATAAAGAATTAAAAAAAATTGTGTCCTGTAATAATATATTCAAAAAAAATCTGATAGATCACATGTCATTTTTTAAATGAACATTTTGACATTTATAGTATTATATGATCATTTATTCATGATTAAATATTTTGAATTTAACTGGGTGCACCGTTAGTAAGTAAAAAAATAAACATTTTTTTGAATTTTTTTTTTTTTACTAAATTCTGTCACTTGCCTATATTTGCCTATACTACTGATAGGTATTTATAATAAGCATACATATTTAGTCATACTCCTGTAATATTTTATAAAATATGTCTCGTTAAATCATAACTATTGTATGCGTACAGGTTAGTTACGGAACATATTTGAAGTTTTTTCAATAGTTGATGAATTTGATCCTCAAAATTTTTTCCTAGTGAATCTACATACCTTAAATCAATCTTTTCTCACTACTTCAACAGTTCTAATACAACTAAGAAAGGTTTTTAAAAAAGGGAAAATGGAAGACAATTTAAAAACTTTTGTTAGAACCTTCAAATGGTGGTACAATAAGCCGTAGGCTGCAATACTGCCTCTCTACAATCAGATAATGGTAATAGCATGGGGGGTCCGAAGGGTGTAAAAAATCTCAGTAATGAAAGATATTTTTTAGATATGTATTGCCTTATTTCCTTCTCTTTTAATGTTACTGAAATAATGTGCGAGTTAATAAATAAACGTAGCTCATAATTTATTGTTTGTTGTTTTCGACAAAATTATTGTTCTTAAGTACTTGTGTGAGATCCACCTATAAAAAATGTTGGTAGCTTCCTCAACTATAAAAGATAATCATTTAAAATTTTTTAGGCCATCCTGTATACGTGATACATTTTAAAGCCTATTGAAATCTACATTAATTTATTGGATAAATTATATGTATAGTCGTATAAGTGTAGTATTCACTCACAATGATTGACTAAATCTTAATAATACGCAAACAATTAGATTTTCTACAGGGCGATTCATTGGGAAACAGACATACGTTAACTGTGGACGGAGGCCACTAAGGTGATTTTAAATAACTGCTAGATGGATATTTCGCCGTTTATAATCGAGATTCAGGTTTTTTTTATCAATTTTGTCAATTTCTTTACTTATTCATCATATTTTGTAAGCAGCCCCATAGATCTTTTTGACACAGTTGCACGCATCCAGGGTAATAAAGTTAAAGTGGTAGAGGTAATATCTAAGACTTTATTTTTAATAATAATAATAATAATACATTTTAGTACCCATAAAAAGTTAGGTTTAACAATTATTGGGGGGAGGAGCTGATAACCCTCATTAATCCCCCGTATATGCGTCGCTGTTTTGACATTTGATATACTTTTCATTGATATCTTGTCTAATATACCAATGCATAAAAAGTAAGAAAATATAGGTCCTGCTTAGCTAAAAACTCACAATTATTTCCACTCTGAAAACAACACCCTGTATATGTGATTATTAGAAAAAACAAAAAAATTAAATTCAATTATATTTTTTATTTGGGGGCCGACGGGTTATTTAGAATCACTTAGGTGGCCTCCATCAACATTTGACTTATGTCTGTAAGGAACCTTCAAGGAAGAAAGAGCTTTATAGTTGGGGATAACAACTAAAAATGGCAAAGGAGGTTAAATATCTTGGAATCGCTTTTCTGCAGCAATATAGAAAAATCTGTAGTATGATGGCCTGGCTTTATACTATGATTGTAGTACCTGTTATAAATTTCTCATCAGTCATATGGTGGCACAAGGCTAAAAGCATAACAGCTAACAGAAAATAAGATAAAGTTCCAAGTCTGGCCTGTCTATTAATAACAGAGACATTTAGAACTACGCCCACTGCAGCAATGGAGCTACTGCTAGGTCTTTCTCCATTAAACCTTGCTCTGGAGGCTATGGTGGCGGCATACAGGATGTTCACTAATGGATTTGGATGAAAGCTTTCAAGAAAAGGACACCATACAATGATATCAGCGAAATTAAAACAAAATCCGGCGGCAAGAATACCATCAGATCATGACTTTATGAAACCTTTCGATATTCAAATACCAGGAAGGGTCAAAATCCAGGAAAATAGAGAAAAAAAAAGGAATCAATCTGGTATGCAGACGGTTCGAAGATGAAAAACAGCACAGGAGCTGGAATTTACCATACGAGCATGTCCTAACCTGGGTCACTGACAATAGTCTTCCAGGCTAAGGGAACAGCAATAAATGCCTGCGCCAAACTTATGTAAAATGACTCCTTTAGCGATAAGAGGGCATATGTTATGGCAAACAGTCAGGCAGCCCTTAAAGCACTGAAAAGGGTAGAAGCATAATCGAAATTATTATTTTATTATCAACAGTCCCTCCAGGCCCTGGCAGAACATAACAATGTCACTCTTAAATGGGTATGGGGACATGATGGATAGCAAGAAAAGGAGCTGAGAAAATCCTAATTGTACCAGAACCCACATGTGGTATTTTATACCAACATGTTAAATGGATGCTAACAGATAAATAGAGAACACCATAGGCTCTAGTTGGAACTTCCTAAATATTTATAGAGGGTTTATTCAAGAGCAGACAAAATCAACTGCTAAACCTTAGCAGAAGTAAACTACTGAATGTCTGATGACTCCTTCTATTGAATATGTGAAGAGAAGGACAAAACTTCTATTCACATGCTATGTCATTGTTGAAACTTTAAATGGGAACAGGAATAGCACTTCGGGGTATAATATCCGGAACCTGAAAAAAATCGCGAAAGCGCCCATCAGACATATTCTTGAATTAATCAAGAATATTAACCTGATGGGGTAGAAACTGAGAGGGGTACAATAAACCTAAAGCTTCAGTATGAATGGGCTTTGAATCACACCCTAATTTCGATCGATAGATAGATCTCCGTTTCCCAATGAATCACTCTGTATTAATTACTACAAGAATTTAATAATTGGACAAAAATTGTATTTATGTTTTTCCATTACTTGTCCTCAATCTATTAATTGACATGATTTTATCAAACTCTAATGGTTCTTCTTGTTATAATTTCCTATCATTATGTATTGTTGCTATCATTATGTATTGCTCATAATTTCGAATTTTATGGCATGTTCTAGATCTGCTTACCTGTTAAATGAAAAACTTTTGTCAATGTCAATCAATTCTTGCCAAACAAACTCATTTATAGGCTCTGATTGTCATATTATTTTGTTGTAATGAAAACGTTTTTCTTTTTAGAATAATACATAAAAGTAGTAAACAATGAAATAATACATTATTAACGATTTTCTCTATAAAAAATACATTGCATTCATTTACGAATTAATACTATTCAATATCTTTTCCTTGTGCCCAAATATTTAACTGCAAATTTCTCATCTCTTTCTGGCACAGTTGCATAAAAATATGCATTTTTTCAAAAAAATTGCACAAGATCTGCCTTGGAGAGCTATCACAATAATTGAAAAATCGATTTGTTATTCCATACTGTTCAACAATTGTCGATGCGATCGTTAGGAAAACTCTTAATGAATATAAATGCGAAAATTACACTTGATTCAAATTTTCTTTTGTCATAGACTTATTAATTAGCTTTGTTTGTTTAATGTCAGCTTAGGTCATTTTTTTGCGAAATCAAGAATGCTTAGTATGAA